CACACACACACACTGACATTTCCGGTGCTATTGACGGCACCAGTGCCGGTCAGTAGCTCTTTTCACACACACGACAAAACCGGAGTCTGTGCCCTTGCCGTTGGCTCTTTTCACACACGCCGTTTATTAATGGAGTAGGCCCGGCTCTCTAGCGTAGTTGGCTAAACCGGATTGCGCGGAGACCGGCTGACTAACTCCTTGTAGTCCGGGGTCAATCCCAGGGGTTGGCAGGAAAGCCACATTTTCTCCCAGATTTACGGTATTTACAATGGAATCAAGGCCGAAAGGTTGCGATATCCATAATACCGAGCCTAAGGGTTAACAACTCATGGCTTCTGGTTACTAAAACAAACATTAATGGAGTAGCTTTATAGCTGCAGTGACAGAAAGATGTGTGCTTGCTGCACTCAACAATTTATATCATGAAGGAAGTACCAAACCCCTTGAACCATTTACAAAAATTATATTCAAAAGTGTTTATACATTGCATTCAAAAAAGGGGGTGGGGTGTCTCAAGGGGTTTACACCTTGTTTAATTGAGCAACTGTATCACTAATAATATTTATGATTATTATTAATAATATTGCTCAATTAAACAAGGCTTGATCCCCTCCCCGACCCCCTGACAAAGTATTTCAGTCGTTGTTAAACTCCGTCGTTTGGTTCACGAATGCAGACATTTACCTGCTCACTCAGAGATACTAATGTATCTACGGAATGTCTGCTTCATGTGACGCTGTCGATGGAGAGCAGCCGTCCTATGGTAGAGACCTCATAATATCTTTTTTTTTTTTATTCGTCCGAGTGATGAAAATGCGTTGTACCTGTTTACAGCAGAGCTGCGAAATTTGTGCCATTTGGCCGACACATTCGACTTCGTCGGGCATTTATTGACCCTGTTTACCTCTCGGAGACTTCGCAATAAAAAACACAGCTTTGTGAAATTTGGTTAATTATCTTGCCTTCTGGTACATTTTAAAATTAAGGGGACCATTTCGACACCTTAAGGATTATTGTGCATATGGTGCCGGAACTACATTTTATAGATTAATCGACACTCGGTTGGTAATGTGGTCAATATCACGCCAGTCACTTTTACTTCGAATAATGTAATTCCCACTTAAGGCTGGGATCGACCCGAGAGTACAGGTCAAGAAAAAAAAAATCCGGCTCCGCATTTGAACCCATGACCTTCGGATCGGCAGGCGGGCATCTAGCCGCTACATCATGGCGGCTCCCTCAGATATATTTTACCCCAACAAAATGTTACTGAGAGCTGACATTTCCTGTTTATAGTGTGAATATAATGTTTATTTTTTGTTCCTGTTAGTACCATTGTCTTCTCTGTATCGATAAGCGTGGGCGGTCATGATCTGCCAACCCATAAGATCACCGGAACTGCGGAGCAGGTCAGCTGCTTTTGACCCATCTCATCCACGCAGCCAAGCTATCCAGTTATTCATGAATATCGTTCTATCGCTTTCTTTCCACGTCTTGCCAGATGAAGCCAAGCCATCAAGTTATTCATGAATGTCGTTCTATCGCTTTCTTTCCACTTCTTGCCAGATAAAGCCAAGTAATCCAGTTTATTCCTTCACGTAACATGTCACAAAATCCCGAATGCCGAATTTCTCTAACTAGTTTGATGTTGTCGCCTGTCCCCTGGGGACAGTATTGCCTTTTTTACACCAGTTAACCTGAAACAAGAGTAGAATCTCAGCTTCGACTTGAAAAGACTGGGAATAGAATATCGCAGCTTCCTTGCATAACTTTGGGCACTTTTGTTTAATTGACCCCAAACAAAGGAAATCATGGACTGTCAATATTCTAGGGGTGGTATGGGTTAGGATTTGTGATAGGTTTAGGGATAGGTTAATCGGAGTCTCTGAGGCGGTCAGTGCTCGACAACGATACTCACATTAACTGTAACCCCCAACTCATACCAGCCCTAGAATATTAGATTGTCCCGGGAACTCCAGGATTTCCTTTGTAGATTCTCCTAAATATCTAGTGTATTTTTCACCTCAAATGTAAGAACGGATAGAGAAATTAACATACGATGTGCGATAGCATATCAGGTTATGGAACAATAAATACCGCATATGAGGCATAGAAAGATACCTCTGTCAACCAAATCAAATCTCATAAGACCAGTTTTTTTCGGGGCAATCATTGTGCTACCAGTGCCAGACATGGACACTTACTGTAACTAATGAGCGGAAGATCGTAACAACAGAGATGAGGTGTCTTAGGAGAGCTGCCGGTGTGACAAGAAGAGATAAAATAAAGAATGAAGAAATTAGATGAAGACTAGGACTAAAACCAGTCATAGAGTTCATTAAAGAATAACAAAAGAAATGGTTTGGCCACCTGACGAGAATGCCCTGATACCAACTGCCACAGAAAGCCACGCTGAAGAAATATAATGAACACAGAGTAAGTGGAAGACCACGCAAGAGATGGAGCGACAATCATGAGAATTGAACACAGACTTGTACAATGCATTGGAAAAAGCGCACAAACGATCCTTACATCTCCCCCAACACCTCACTGAGGTAAATGGTGAAAAAGAAGAAGAGGAAGAAATGAGCCATGATATTCCTTGTATATTACAATTTCAATTTCTTTGTTGTTAAATGTAATTATTTCTTTATTTACATAAAGTTCAACTTGACAACAAGTATGAAAGCCTACATTACACTCTGCATTTCTCAAAGATGGTTCTCATATTTTCAGAGAAGGTATCTAAGCTTCCATACTCTTCCTGAAACCCGTATCAGACATTAGTTGAGAAACATTGTACTTTGAATTCTTGTTTATTACTTTTTCACATTTTGTGCATTTATAGTCATATATAAATAAATTTAATGAAATCTGTGAGTCTGCTTCATAATTCTTTAATCGGTAATGCTCAATTAACGAAACGATCGTGGAAATGCTAAATAATAAAAGTAATTTCCAACGTTTTTTTTTTTTTAAATATAAGTGAACATTCATTCCAAAAGAAATGGAATTAACATCAAATTTAAAATAATTAACTCAAAAGAAAAATCATCAGTGTTGTTTGCAGCAATATATATATAATTTTTGTTTCGACCAGCGTCTAACTAGAGTCAGTTTCGGAAATCCTAGAGTGGATGTTGTATTGTACTAGTCTGAATGTGATAGTCTAGTTCAAGCGAGACATTGTAGGAAGTTTGGAAACACTGCGACTGATCCAGCAAACCTACACTGGTTTATTTAGCTCTCGTAGAAAAAAAAGAAGAGGGTCAAGTGGTTTGCCCACATAACAGGTTTTGTACCAGACAGGGCACCACACAGAGCAGTGTTATACAGATACAACGGTAACAGGGCCAGATGTCGACCACACAGAGCAGTGTTATACAGATACAACGGTAACAGGGCCAGATGTCGACCACACAGAGCAGTGTTATACAGATACAAAGGTAACAGGGCCAGATGTCCACCACACAGAGCAGTGTTATACAGATACAACGGTAACAGGGCCAGATGTCGACCACACAGAGCAGTGTTATACAGATACAACGGTAACAGGGCCAGATGTCGACCACACAGAGCAGTGTTATACAGATACAACGGTAACAGGGCCAGATGTCCACCACACAGAGCAGTGTTATACAGATACAACGGTAACCGGGCCAGATCTCGACCACACAGAGCAGTGTTATACAGATACAACGGTAACAGGGCCAGATGTCGACCACACAGAGCAGTGTTATACAGATACAACGGTAACAGGGCCAGATGTCGACCACACAGAGCAGTGTTATACAGATACAACGGTAACAGGGCCAGATGTCTACCACACAGAGCAGTGTTATACAGATACAACGGTAACAGGGCCAGATGTCGACCACACAGAGCAGTGTTATACAGATACAACGGTAACAGGGCCAGATGTCTACCACACAGAGCAGTGTTATACAGATACAACGGTAACAGGGCCAGATGTCGACCACACAGAGCAGTGTTATACAGATACAACGGTAACAGGGCCAGATGTCGACCACCAAGGAAATGGACCGCGGAAATATCACTGACACAGAAAAATACTATATGTGAAGCAAACAGAAGGGCCTGTTTCAGAGATCTCTTCCTCCCCTGAGGCTGCAAGACATTCCAGGAGTAAAGAAAAGAAGAAGAAGAAGAAGAAGACTACTAAACTAGACACCTTCATCAATTTGTTAATGCACTTAATATACAACATAAACAACATTATATGGTGTGACAGAATGGCTAATCCAGTGATATTAAACAAATGACAGTGTAGTTAGCAGAAAAATAAAGCACTGGACAGGAAAAACATTGAGAAAACAAGATAATAAAAAAAATACAAGTCCTTGCATTGGAACAGACAGGGTCAGAAATAAAAGGAGACCCCTGCCCACCCATTGAAGAAGAATACAGGACACAGATGTGAATAGGATAAATTAGTGGAAAAGGAACAGAAAAACTGAAAGCGGTGGGGAAGTACAGGTAGGTTTGGCGTCAGTAGGTTATGGCCTGCCTGTACTAGGAAAAGGGGCGCGGACACACACACACAAACTGAAGGTTGATGATGTTTAGGCTAATGATGATGCAATGAACTGGAATATTACCATACACAGATAAATGTTGATACATTTATGAAATTCAAATTATTCTTTAAATACTAAAATATTAACAATTTAACAAACAGTAATTTCAATTGTTTGTTTAAAACTGGAGCTAAATTCCCAATTGGCAATATAGAGAATGAGCACACGTAATATGAAAGTGAACATGAATGCTCTATTGATCAGCATAACAAGTGTTAGTGGCTATAATTACTAGTAAAAATAAAACCTTTGTATCAGTCACAGGGAAACTGAAACTCGAAATCTTACATTGCCTCTTCCTGCAAAACAGTTTTATTACATAAAGCTCCAATAATAAAGCACAATAAAAAAAATATTCAAAGCAGTCACAGTTTCCCATGAAATGAGAAACAATACAGCATTTTATAAAGCCAGCTTTAGTGTCATCGGTAAACAGGGTGTTTTGCTATCGATGCTTATCGTTTGAATGCTTTTGAAAATCCCAGGCAGTGATGTTAATGTTAACTCAAACTGTTTATTGTTACAAAAAATGAACAGTATCTGTTTATAGAGCACACAACCTTTGAGGCTACAGTCGAAGTCCCAGAGCTTAGAGACCAGCTCAAAGTCTACAGGAGTCGTATCTGTGTTGAATAGTTTCCACAAGGACCCATTCCTCTGTAAGATGTAAACATCTTCTTTGTGATTAAAACTAACCATATCCTGTGATGTTCCGCTCATTGATGTTTCACAGCTATGAATTTCCTCTGTTTCTGTGTTGTAGTACTCAACAGCTGTGACATTATTTTTCGTGCTAAATACTAGTATGTACTTATGGAATCTAAGAAGGCAGTTTACACAGCCGTGAAGTTCACCACATTGTGACCAATCAGAGGTATGTCCATGAACACAGCAGAAACGATAAAGCATGGATTTAACTACTCGCCGATGAAAACAACTATCATCCAGGCAACAGCAGTAAATATTATTACCATGTGGTAGCAATATTACAAATCTGTTTTCATTTATACTATTTACTTTTACCCAAGTTTTCTCCTTTGCAAGCATGTACAGTTCACTATTTTGGCATATACTATTACTACACAGTAGATGTAAAATACTATCAAATATAACAATAGCAAACGAACTGCAGGATTTACACTCCTGTGGGAGTTCAGCTAATTCAGCAACTTTGCCAGTGTCCAAAACATAGGACACTATTTTGTCACCAGATAAAAACACCATGACGTGTTTGAAAGAGCTGGAAGCCCTATATACAGCTGCATCAGGCCACGCGTCATGGCGACGGCTGACATCCAAGGTATACATCAGAGCTTCATGCATCAATGCGTATGCTCTTGTATCTACCAATAGGCGTACGTCATTCTTCATTACATTGTCAAAAAAGCCGGATTTTATTGTAAACAATCTACAAGCAGACAACAGTTGAACAAGATATTGTTTTCGATTTTCTCTTTCGGTGACATCAGTACCAAGACATTTGCTGACATTTTTGTAATGCACAGGTATGACAGCAGACGAATCGATGCTGTCTCTGGTTACTGTCATCTGTGAACATGCCTGCATGTTTTCAGATGTTACGTCACATGTTACAATGGTCTGATCATCTGTATCGTCGTTATTTCCATTGTTGGACAAACTGTTTGATGAGAAATCACCATCGGGGTGTTCAGCATTCGTAAAACTGATACCCACAGTGTTGTTTCCTAAAAAAATAGAGAGAGAGAGAGAATGCAATTACAATGGTCAATAAACGTTTTTAACAACAATAACACATAAAATAGTGTAGTAACAAAAAGGTATGGTGCAGAATAGCAAACAGTAAAAATGACATCTGCCGGTATAATACGGTTGTTCAAGAAGCCCTCGCTGAAAATGTTTGCATAGGAAAGAAATGAGGAGAAACGTTATGAATTAGTATATATAAATATAATCGTGGGTGTTAACATGAATGTGCAAAGGTAAGCCCCCAAGTACACATTCACACACACACATACATACACACGTGAGTGCGCGCACGCAAACACACACACACATATATATACTGACACAAGGAGAGAGAGAGAGAGAGAGAGAGAGAGAGAGAGAGAGAGAGAGAGAGAGAGAGAGAGAGAGAGAGAGAGAGAGAGAGAGAGATGCATGCAAATTCAATTTTACTGATAAATGCGGAAACCAAAAACGTAGACTTTACCAGAATCTATAGACAAACTTTGTGCAGATCGTGGGGTATATTTTACACATTTCAAGATAGCATCTGCTTCCATTTCTTCGCCCTCTGGGCTAAATAATCGCTCGCAATCACTTTATGAAACTGGTCCAATGGTACATGCAGAAATCTATCTTCATATTTAATTTTTTTCAAAGATTCATGACAAAAAAAAAACAAAAAACAATGATCTACCACATCTAGTGTAGAAATGTGCACTTCATGGTCGAAGAAAAGGAAACAACTGTCATCAGAAATGTTTTCATTGACAAACGCATGACACTGATCATTTAAGTAGCCAATCTTCAGTATTTCTGAAGCTGCCCACACATTCAAAACATTTTCGATGTTGAGGCCATCTATACCTGTGTATACAGCCCTAACGATTATATCAAACGTACTAGCAGTCACCCCTTCAGGTTTAGCGCAACCTTCTATCTGTTCCTTTACTGGTCATTTGAACAGACACTGGAAGAACCCGGAGCATGTGCTGAGAATAAAGCGGTGAAATTTGCATTACGTATCCTCAACAATAAAGATAGAGTCGCTGTAATCATCTCCCTTCGACAGGATGCAATCTGATTAAAAGTCTGCCGCTGTTTTCCACTCCTATTGTTTTTGTTTATGTTTTCTTTTTGACAATAATGTGAATTTACTATTTAATTATGAAACCACGAGAGCTACTAATGATTTCTATTTGTTTAATGACAAGACTACTTGGGTTAGAGTGAATACTATTAATACGTGTAATTTGATTGTACTGCTACCAAATATTTATAGGATTTACAAATGTTTCCTGGCCGACAGTAGGGACCTCTACAGAGATGTCAAACCGTATCGTTTCGGTTGTACTTACGGACTTGACTTAGACTGGTCAAAATGTGGCCACAAACTGTCTCGACATATTCCGTAAGTACAAACTATTTATTCTCTTGTACGAAACATAATGAGATAACTGTACAGTGTTATGAAAGAGAAAGTGAGCAAACTTATAAACGTGAAACATCAATGAGCTGAACATCACAGGACATGGTTAGTTTCACACATGAAACACATGTTCACATCTTACAGAGGAATGGCTCCGCGAGGAATCACTTTAATATATCTTCTTCTATCATTCTCTCCCCGTCTTCGATTCACTTCTAATTGTTGCAGGCATCATTACTTCTACTACTTAGTTGCTCCTTTTATGCCATGGGGTGTAGATGTTTGCCAGAGAGATCGCCAGACTTTTTTTTCAGCTGTTTTCTTTTTAGCTCTGTTACATTCCAGTCCTCTGTCCATCAGGGATTATCAGATGTTGTCTTTCCACAGGACCCTGAGTCGCCCTGGTAATCTGGTTCCTTGGCTCTTGGTCTCTCATGCCTGCCATGGCGGCAGATATTCTCCCATTTTGTATACATGTCTAAACCATCGTAACTGTGATTGATCCACTCAAATTTGTAAGGCCTGGGTTTCAAAATCTTGACGTATTGTCTGGTTGCGAACTTTTTCCCTTCTTGTCACTTGGACCACCTTTCTTTGATATCTTATTTCTGAGACCGGATGCTGGCTTTTGTGAGCTGTTGTCATGGCCCATAATTCAACCTGTATGTCAGGACTGGTACATAGGTAGAGGGTAAACAACCATTTTCGTCCTTTTGAAAAGTATTCTCCTTTTTCTTCTCTTTCACCTTGTACCTCAGAGTAGTGGCGGGAAGAGATGTATCATTCGTTGATGAGCTCTGTCAAAAGCACTATTAAGACTGATGTTTATTTGAAAGGTATTATAACTACATTATTTACTTAGACATTACGTTAATACACATGACGTTCCCATTTCTTTACAGCTCTAGCAATGCTGTTCAGTTTTATAGATAATTTACAGTCATAGTTACTGGATATCATAATCACCATCATCATGCGGTCCTCAAATAGTTACTATATCTTCCAGCAGAGGCCTACATTCTACATTACAAACATAGCACAGAAAAAATATAGTGCCGATCCAGTCAGGTACTTGAAAAGTCACTCTAGTGTCACCCAGTTAATTCAAAACACTGCCTACTATCTGCTGGCTGACTACCAGTAACATCTGGGTCTGCATTCTTGGTCTTGCCTCCTAGACTGTAATGTTGCCTTCTATCTGATCCTTTCTAGTTGTTTTGGATTTTTCTCCGTGTTCCAAGATTATGTCTGCTTCCATAAATCATTATAAATACATATAGCTATTCGTACACTGCTTTAATGAACTTGGTTCTGTCGTCATGGCATTACCTCTGTCCATGTGTTCAATGAATCGAAGTGGGTTGGGCAGGCACAAAATAAACAGAGACACGCAACGCTTTGCATGAGATGACGGAGCTATGTGAAATGATAGGGTCAAGGGTAAACACGGAGAAGGCCAGTGTTTTGTGGTGCTCCTTAAATAACAGAATTTGAAAGGAAGACTTGCCCAACAATAAAGGCTATAACTGTCGAAAGAAGAGATAAGCTTAAATATTTAGGTTTAACATTTGATAGCAGTTTGTCCTACAAATATCACGTGGAGTAGACTGATCGAATGCAAGCATGGCCTGACGGCATTGAAGACGATGGTGGCGACACACATGGACCAGAGACTATTGGTCTCATTGTTTAACCATTTAGTCCTTTCATTAATCGAATTTGGGATAGAAATTTTAACACTATCTACTTCACAGTGTACAAAGCTTGAACGGATTAAAAATGAAGGAATTAGAATCGTTTTGGTTTGCACGAGATATACAAATTAGAACAATGAGGTATATGCTTGGGCTGACATCTGTAAAGTCTAGACTGTCACTTGTGCAAGTCAAGGCCTAAATGCGAGTCACTGAGAAAGGGTTACTGCTGCATGGCAATCTGAAAGATTTAGGAAGAGACGGCTGGAAAGAGGAAAGTCATGGATGGCACTATCTGAAGATACCATCAAGACGGTGGCCTCAGTCGAGCAAATAAACAGGGGGCAGGAATGGGTCGATACGAACACCCACAACAGCAGCTTCCATCAGGTCATTATCCCGTTTGGAAGAGAATGTAGAGAGTGATGTAACAATAGCGTAGAGTTAAGAGGTACAACAATTGAGAGATAAAAAAGCTGGACTAGATGATGCAATAGTGTATACCGATGGTTCTGTTCATTGGGTTGTAAGATCTGGCTTGGGATTTTCAGTTAGAATGAAGGAAAAGATTGTGGTAGAACACACTGGAGCATTTTTATCTACAACTTCAAGCATGAGGATGGAGGTAAAGGCAAACACTGCGGTTCTGATTCGGATAGCAATAAACAAAGTTACCAGAGGAATTATTGTGTCTGATTTTTAGTCGGCATTGCGGAAGGTTCAAAATGGACTGATGTGGCATGAGTGGATACCAAGCATCAGTACGCCAACACTGCTAGGAGTCACGTGGATATACTGTCCGGGTCATGCAGGAGTGCAAGGGAACTAAAGAGCGGATTTTCTGGCTACAACAGCGATAGATACGGAAAACACTTGCACAGGACAAGGAAAATATTAAGAAGGAATGTTGACAGAAGACACGAGATTAGATGAAATAATGTGTGCAAGAATGTGTGAACCAGATATCAGGAGTGGATCCGGCAAGGAGGGACGTATCAGATTAAGAGAACGATATGTGTATAATGTTACGATAACAGTTAGCATCTACTCTTTAAGGCATTTGCTGCGGGAGATTCTTAAATCTGTAATCAGTAATCCGTTTCCTAAAATAGACGACATATATATTTATATTGATCAAATAGTGTTTCCCAAAAGACAGGCACAATTATATTGGTCAAATATTGCTGGTGAGAAAAAACCCACATAAAGCAATCCATTAGCAGCAGAAAGGTAAAATGCATAACAGCAAGATATTATAAATAATGACATTTGCCCTAATAGGACATTTATTGTATGAAAGTATGACACGAAATCTTTGATAAAAGCATAAAAAATATAAAAAGTTATGAATGAGCAAAATATAAATGTTTTCCCTTTCTCTCACATACACACACGGACACACAGGCGTGTGCCCGCGAGCACACACACACACACACACACACACACACACACACACACGAGAGGAAGAGAGAGAAGAGACGAGAAAGAGACAGATAGAGACACACAGAGAGAGAGAGAGGGGGGAGAGATAGAGAGAGAGAGAGAGAGAGAGAGAGAGAGAGATTGAGAGAGAGAGAAGGCAGAACATGCATCTCCTGTTTAACTGTTATGAAATAAATATGAATAGAAGTGAAAAGTTTACCTGAATCAAATGGTACACTTTGAGCTGATTGTGGGACACATTTTACCCAGTTCAAGACGGCGGCCACTGCCAGCTCCTCACGTTCTATTTCCAAATAATCGTTCGCGATTACTTTGTAAAACTGGTCAAAGGATAAATGAAGAAGTTGTTCTTCACCGCGAACTTTTTTAAAGTTTCTGGAAATGAAATCCAAGGAATAATCTACCACATCTTCCGCAGTGTACAGTATTGCATGGT